TTTTTTTTTTCCTTTGCTCTGGTAGTGCTGATTCCCTGCACAGTTTTGTGCTGGCAGTCACCATGGTGGACAGGCCCTGACAGCCACCACTGGTCATGGTGCATACGTAGGTGGATTTGCTGAGCCTGGTGTCCGTGAACTTGCACAGTGCACTCGGGGCTCTTCTGCCCCGTCAGCAGGGTCCCTAGGGTGTGTCTGTGTCTTTCCACTGTTTGGCCTGAGTCTGCACTGTCTGCATAAGTGGCAGACTAGTGGCATATCTGGTCCCACTATAGCCAGAAGGCCAGGCCGGCCGGAAGCCAAGGAGGAAGAGCTGGGGAAAAGGACTTCAGGTATAGCTCAGAAGGCAGGCAGTTTTTTGGAGTAATCACAGGCTTTTGGATGAATGGGGCTTTGGTGGGTGTGGCAGTGCACATCTGTAATCCCAGCACTCAGGAGGCCAAGGCTCGCAGGTCTCTTTGAGTTCCAGCCCAACCTGGGCTACATAAGTGAGTTTAAGGCCAGCCTGCATAGCAATATCCTTTCTCACATGCACAAAAAAGATTGTGGCTTTCAAGTTTAATTGTAAAGGCCAGGGATAGCTCAGAGGCATGGTGCCTGCCTGGCAAGCTCAGAGTCCTGAGTTCAATTCCTGGTATTCCCTCCCCCCAACCAAAAAAAAAAAGGTTTGATTGTAGCAAGTGTACTTTTTCTGTTCCCCAGAACCACCCTAAAGCAGATTGTTATTTTTTAGGCACCAGGAGAGAAATCCTTCTCCATTCATAACAATGCTGGAGCAGTGTCATTTCAGGTATGTGTTTCCTAGAGGCAAGTTGCATACTTTCCTGAGTTTCTGAACAGGGGGCAGCTCCCTCTTGCACCCATCCCCTGATAACCAGCAGCAGGGTGGGCCTGCATTGTCATGCCCTGCTCATCCCAGTGCCATTTCCAGTGTCCAGGTTTTGGGCCAGCTCTGGTGGCCATACAGCCCTCCGCCCTGGGTGATGTACACAGTTGTTCCCTCAAAAGGACTTCAGGCTGATGGGATGCTATAGCTTAAAGGGTTCGCAGAACCCTGAGCTGGCACAGTAACTGTGCTGTCCTTGCGGGACTGGCACAAGTCTGGGCTATGGGGTGGTCTCTACTCCTGCGTAGGTGACACTTGGCCACACAGTGTTGCACCTCACAGTGGGGAGCCATGGGGCTGTTAGTTAGAGCTGTATGTGGAGGCCTGGCCACATCGCTGTGTATCCTTAACGTGGGACAGTGACAGGCTCTTCCTCTGAGATTTCCTGAGGTGGCCCTGTAAGGACACAGTGTTTCTCCTTGGAAAGCCCCACTCGCGACAGCCCTGTTGTTTCAGCATAGATTAGCTTGCTCACTTAACACTGTTCATGTTGGTTAACTTCCATGGCCACCATTTCGGTCACTGTCACCATCGGGGAGAACACCCAGCAGTGCTCAGGGCTCATGGTGTGCTCTGGCTGAGTCCCAGCAGCTCCCCGCTGAGCCCGCCCCTGGTGCCTACGGAGCCTGGCCCCTAGTGTCTCCCTGCCCCCAGCTCCTAGCTTCCCTGCCCGCTGTGCTTCCGCCGCACCGAGCCCTTCCTGCTGTGCGCCTGGCCACTGTCATGCAGTCTTGCCAGCTGGCTCTGCCCTCCCACCTACTACTCAAAATCTGGCTCACCCTTCACCGAAGCATCTTAGGTCTTTGTGTCACTGTGGACATCCTCTGGGTCTGACTTTTAGAATAAAAGTTAATTATTTAGAAAAGTTTCTTTTTTTCTAACCAAGATGACAGAAATACATGCTGTCACATTTACAAGCATGAGTTTGGGGCATAGCTTAATGGATTAATAGTTTCAGCCCAGTACCTGGTCTTTTATTTGTTTTCTTGTCAGGAATCTCTTATCCTTTTCTCTCTTTCCTTGTAAGATATATACAGCTTCCACTTGAAAGAGTAGGTAGCACTTCTGTGGCTAGAATAGGCCATTACGAGAAATCATCCCGTAGCCACGCGCGGGTGCGGGGCAGCGCTGCCAGCAACGCACAGCCCCCCCCCGGGCTGCTGTAACCCCTCACAAAGAACACCACCGTGCCATGCGCCTGGTGCTGGGGGCTGAGGCAGGAGGAGCAGAGGGCAGGGCCAGCCAGCCTGCGAAGCTAGTGAGGCCAGTCTCAGCTTCTGCAGCGAGACCCTGTCACGAAACAAAGCAGCCATCATTATTTTCAGGCTTTTCCTTTTAGTTTATTGAGTGTGCTCTTCAAGCTCTGAACAGTGTAAGACATTTTTTTTTTATTGCTAGAACTTTTTGCTGATAGTAAAATGGTCTTAGATTGACCAAGGAGTTGTATTCTGTGAGCATGTATGCTTATTGTTTTAGTTTACATTAAACTTCATTTGATCCCATGAAATGTATGAAAAACAAAAAAAGATAAAATTATAGCTTTTGTTACTTTTTTTTTTTTTTTTTGGCGGCACCGGGGATTGAACTCAGGCCCTTGCGCTTATTCCACTGAGCCATCTCCTGGCCCCTAACTTTTGTTACTGTTGTCTAATGTGATAAGTGCACATTTTAATGAGAGGATATTGGTCTTTTTCAGCAGTAAGATGAGTGTTCTTTTTCTTTTTTCTTTTTTTTTCACTTGAAACTTGCTTTTTAAACAACACGTCAAAGACAAAAACCAAAAAATGCTGAAATACAATTCTTTGCCAGCTTTGGACTTGTAGTGATCTTTCCGCCTCAGCCTCTGGGAGCGCTGAGGTCCCAGGCACAGGCCACCACACCTTTCACGGACAGCTTTTACCCGCTTTCTCATGACATTGTGGTGAGATCCTTTTCCAGCTGCAGAGCAGTTTCCTTGAGGGCTGGATCCGCTGCCCAGTTGACATGAGGTTCTGGAACACATGCTGAATAACAGTAGTGATGTCCATCTCCGTCTGTGTGCTTCGCTGCATGGTCTTTATTTTGTCCGAATTTTCCATACTGTCCAACTCCTTGTTTTTTCTTCTCAGCTTGTGTTTCTAAAAGTTTAGTTTCTGAAGCATGTTTGAGTTGTGATCTCTTCTTTCTAACATCAAGTAGTTTTTCTTCTAATTCCCAAGATTCCTTCTGTAATCTCATTACTGATTTATTTAGCTTCAATACTTCTTTCAGAGTAGCCATGAGTACACTGCTCTTGGTGTTAACATTTTCCAGGTCATTTTTAAGTGCAGCTAAAAGTTGCATCCTGCTCAAAGCAAGACTTTTCATTTCAAATGCAACTTTTACCTCTTCAGTTTCATTTTCCAGGTCTTCAGCTTTAGCTTCCATTTGTTGTTCTTGTATGATCTGCTCTGGAGTGTTGTCTTCATTCGCATCAATCGTCCACTTATATTCTAAGAGCAGCAGCAAGTGGCAGTCCTCGGTGCATGCCTCCCGGGCGCCAGCCCCTCCAGAGTCTGCGGTGGTCTCCGCCTGCCACTCCATCGCGGCTGGGCAGCGCCTCGGGATAACTAGGGTCTGCCCTATTTTTTAATTTTTTAAATCATTTATTTATGTATTTGATACAGAATCTAGCTACACAGCTTGGACTCATAGTAATCCTGCTTCAGCCTCTCAGTGCTGGGATTATAGGTGTGCACCCTCATGCCCAATCTCTTGTGGCCAGCACAGTGTGCCCTGCAGTACGGGGGATAGAACCTGGGTTCGTGGCTTGCTCGGCAGGCCCTGAGACCACCCCCGTCTCCCATGCCCAAACATCCCTTCTCGGTGGTGGTGAGACAGGGTCTCACTCTGCAGGTCAGACTGGCCTTGGACTCTGTGGCACAGGCTGGTCTGGAACTCCACAGCGCTCCTCCTGCCTCAGCCTGCCGAGTGCTGGGATTACAGGCGTGCTCCACCACACCCAGCTCCTTCTTTCTTCTTGAAGAGTGTTTTTTATCTAAAGAACAAAATAATATATTTGCTAGAAAACTACATAGCTGCATCTCAAATCATTTGGCAGACTTCCCCAGAAAGCCATTGCTGATGTGTTCAGCTGTGATAAAGCAAGCGTGGGGCAGTGGTGACTGTGGACTCCAGGTGTGAGGGGAAGGTGTTCCATGTGCAGTTTCATTGGCTCGCTCACCTGGGTGCTTGAACACTGTTATAAAATATGGGAGGGGGTCATAGAGTAAGGGAACATCCATTTAAACTCAGCAGTGGTGCTGGCCCTGCCCGTCTGGAACCATGTCCTTAGCACATCCTCCCAGCTCTTGGGAGGCTGGAAACAGGCAGATCACTACGAGTCTGATCTAGTAGTGAAACCCTGAACACCCTGTAGACCCTTCCCTAAAAAAAACCAAAAAAAAAAAAAAACCTCTGCAATGGGGGAATTTGATTAAATAGTCTCTTCTTCTGTTCATTAATATAACATTTCTAAGTTTTAAAAACTAGTAGAGGTAGAACTGGGCATGGTGGTACATGCTTGTAATGCCAGCACTCAGGAGGCTGAGGCAGGAGGGTTGCAGTGAATTGGAGCCCTGGGCTGCGTAGTGAGTTCAAGACCGACGAGGGTGAAAAGGCTGGGGAGATAGCTCAGTGGTTTAAGCGCCTGCCTAACAAGTGCAAAGACCCAGGTTCAATCCCTGGCACCACATGCCAGTCTGGCCCCGCCCCCAGGTGTGCTGAGCCAGCCACCGAGTCTGGGCATCGTGGTGCGCACCAGTAATCCCAGCATTGGGGTGGCTGAGACAGGAAGATCACTATGAAGTCCAAGCTGCATAGGGAGACCCTGTATAAAATAAATCAAAGATTTTTTTTTTTTAAAAAGACAGGGCTGAGCTACATATCAGACCTGTCTCAAAAAAAGAAAAGAAGAAGAAATCAGAGGATTTGCGTACCCTTAAATTGTTTTCTTCACTTTCAGTTTTCCTTTAACATCAGCACTGATGATCAAGAGGGACTTTACAGTCTCTATTTCCACAAGTGCCCAGGCAGTGAGTGGCAGTCGGGTGACAAGTTTTCATTCAGCCTTGACGTAAGTACCACATGGGGCAGATAAAGGAGGGATTTTGCCAGCTTAAGATTCAGAGCATCTGTTCTTCTATAAGAATAGTTGTGGGCAACGAATTTGGAACCCTTTCTTCTCTCAAGAGCTATTCCTACCTCTCTTTCTATTTTCTGTTACTTTTCACCAATAAATTTTCATATTTAAAAGTAGGGAGGGGGGTCAGGGAGATGGCTCAGTGGAATAAGCGCTTCTCTGGCAAGCGCAAGTTCAATCCCCTATTACCGCCAAAAAAAAAGTAGGGAGGGCATCAGCAGACCAGGCATCTGTGCAGCACGGGGGAACCCCAGCACCATGTGCTGTGCCGGCCCCCCCTCAGGCGTGCAGAGCGGGTGGTGGCACACGCCTGTAATCTCAGTACTGGGGAGGCTGAAAACAGGAGGATCACTACGAGTCTGAGCTGCATGGTGAGACCCTGGACCAAAGACATTAAAACAAAACAAAACAGAAAATAGGGGGACAGTTGTTTTAGCTACGTGTGAGGGTACACACTTGTAATCCCAACACTCTGGGAGGATGAGGCAGGAAGGTCTTAAACTCAAGCCCAGCCCAGGCAAGTTAGATTTAGCAGGACCCTATCTTACAATAAAAAGGGAAGGGATATAGCTTAGGGCATAGGCCCTTGAGCACCACCACAAAAACAAAAACAAAAGTCGTTGTTTCCTGGAACTTGGCATTGAACGCAGGGCTTTGGCCTAGACAAGCACCGCAGTAGCTCAGCTACGTTCCCACCCACCAAGAAGGGGTTTTAGAAACACTTTGGGAAGGGAAAAATGGGGCCGGGGGCCCACTGGGCCAGTGGGCAGGACACCTGGGCAGAGGCCCCACGTGCAGGAAAGTCTGGAGCCTTCTGGGCCCTATTTCCCTTCTGCCTGTCTGTGGAGGCCGTGGTTTTTCCCACTGGTCCCGCTCTCTGGGCTGGAGTCAGGCCGGTGGAGCGTAAAGCTCCCACTCCGTTGCTTTCAGATCGAGATCACCGAGAAGAACCCCGACAGTTTCCTCTCAGCCGGTGAGATCCCACTCCCCAAGCTGTACATCTCCATGGCCTTCTTTTTCTTCCTGTCCGGGACCGTCTGGATCCATGTCCTTAGGAAACGACGGTGAGTAGCCTTCCTCCCCATTCACTACCTGGAGGGGCTGACCTGGAGCAGCCCTGCTGTCCTTGGGGCAGGGACACCTTCCCAGAAGCCTCTGCCTGTGGACGCCAAGAGGCTAAAGGTCTCACCGAAGGCCCAGCCCCAGTGAGTGCCTGGTCCTTTTCAGGGCTGACCCTTCCAAGAGGAGGCCAGGGTTGTACACGAGGACAGTGTATTTGGGTGGCAGCTCCCGCCCCTTTGTACCTCAGCTTTGTGTCATTTCTAGTGTGCTGGTGGCTTTTCACCCAAGTGGTGACAGCTTGGTGAGAACAGACGGTTAATGACTTGAACTGTAGTGACTTGCACTTCCTAAACTCAGCGGGTTAGGTATCTTGGAAGTTGGTATTTGTAAGAGAAACTTGGTGCCTTGTTGATTGCTTTTTACCAAAACTTACAACTTTGTTTTCCCGAGAATGGCGGTGAGCTGGGATCTACTCTGAGCTTGGCTGCCATGCTCTCCCACCTCCAGATGCCTGTCTCCGGGCCTTGGTTCAAAGCCCCGAGGCTGTGACTTCCTGTACAACTTGAGGAAGTGTGGCTTGTAGGCTGTAACGCTCAGGGAGGGAGGGCGTTGTGTACCTGTGAGTTCAGAGGACAGTGGCCCAGGGCCCGGGAGTGCCGCGTGGGTCGGGGATCAGATGACTCAGTCCACGTGCACTGCTGGAGTGGGGCCAGATCTGGGGGCTGGCGCTCACAGTCAGCCGTGGTCGTGCGTGGTACCTGGGTGTCGTGATGACCTTCGCATCGGCCCTCAGGAAGGGCAGACGCGTGGACAAGGTGGTCAGACAGCTGCTCCATGGGAAGGAAGAATCGCACACATTAAGGTCATAAAGGATGGGGTGCTTTGAGAGAAAAGTCTGCTTTTTTAACTGTGCTAGGAACATGGGGCGCCAGGCGTGGTGGTGCACACCTGTAATCCCAGCACTCGAAAGGCTGAGGTAGGAGAGTCCTTGCAACTTCGAGATCAGCCTGGGCTACAGAGTGAGCTCAAGGCCAGCCTGAACTGCGTAGCAAAACCCTGTCTCAGGAAGATCCCCCAAAAAAGAAAAAGAAAGGTAAGAACCACGAGTCAGAAGTGTGAACTTCGTGGCTTCCTGTCTGCCTTGCGTCATGGCCTTTTCCTTCAGCCACAGACTGGAAGAGTAACAAATGCTCTGCCTCCTCCTCCTCAGCGCCTTTTCTTTTCTCTCTTTTTTTTTCCCCTTTTTTAATGTATTTGGTCCAGGGTCTCATTATGCAGCTCAGACTCCTAGTTCCCTCCTGTTTTCAGCCTCCCCAACGCTGGGATCGCAGGCAGGTGCCCCCACGCCCAGTTTAGCTGGTGGTCTGTACAGCATGTGAACCTGGGTCCTTGCCCTTGCCAGGCAGGCACTTAGGTTGCCGAGCCATCTCCCAGACTTCTTTTTTATTTTTAATTTTTTAATCTTCGCTAAGCACTTTAGATCCTTGAATCTGTGTGGTTCCCCCAGCTGAGAGAGCCTTGCAAATCGGGATGTTACGCAAATAACACAGCTTACCTCAGGTGTTGAGGGCTATTTTAATCTCGCACTTGGTGATGGCAGAGTCATTGTCGCTGGTTCCCCGGAAGGAAATTGTGGCAACAGTTTCAAGTGGTGGTTAAGTGAGGCTGCCTGTTTTTTGTGTACATCCGGCTTTAGCTTCGTAGTGATGGGTTCTCAGTGGCACAGTCGAAGCACCCAAGCTTTGCCAAGTACCTGGGAGTCGGTCCTTAGGTTGGGGACTCTTGGGCCGTATGGACTCAGGACCCCTCGGTGGCCAAGCACATCCCCGAGGATGATGGTCCCTCAGGGCTGGAAGGAGCCAGGGGCATTTGTCACATAAGCTTATGGAGGCTGAGGACTGGGAGGTGAGATGTGCGGGCAGCATCTCTCAACAGCTAGGGCTTGTGGGTGGGCGCCTGTCAGGCACTTTTCAGCCCTGAGTGTGGTGGCCAGAGCGAGACATAGGGACTGTGCAGCTAGATGGAGGAAGGAGGCTGATGGCTTTGCAGTCCTGCTCTGTGTGTGCTTAGCTCAGCTCCTGTTCTGGTGGCACGTTGGGGTGGGCCGCATCATGTCCCGCCACAGCAAGAGGTTTCCAACCTAGGCCACAAATCTGCATTGTCTGATGTGTGAGCGAGAGAGCATGGGTCCTATAGTAGGTGGTTTGCACTCTGGGTATATTGACCTGGCGTGCAGTAGTGACACACTGCCCGGCCTTGACTTCCATTTGGACCTGCAAGTCATGGGCACGGGGACAGGGAGGTGCCAGAGCCATCGGCCCAGAAGCCCAGTGTGCGTCACTAGCAGGTATGGCCTGGAGAGGCACTCAACAGACAGCCTGGGTGTGTAAGTACTTCCACGTGTGTTTTGAGTTGATGAGACCTGTGCCCCCTGTGGACATTGTTCACTCAGTAGCGTGCTGTTTCCATGCAGCCGCCCTGTCACCCATCGTGGGCACCCCAGCTTCCCCCTCACCTTCCCAAAGCCCTAGGTCCTTGGGAGCAGGGCTGAAGGGGTGTGCTGGTCATGGTCTTCCCTCAGCCCTGCATTTCCGTAAGGCCACCAGAGGACCCATTTGTCTCTCGGGCCCACATTGGGCTCTGCAGGCCACCCGGGCCTTGCTATCTCTGGTGGCTGTGTGCACTTGCTAGCTAAGCACTCACACCTGCCTGTGTGCCTCAAGCAGTGCCCGCCAGGTCTTTGTCCTCCTCTTGTGGCCCTGTAGGGTGCCCACCTCATACCCCCTTACACCTTGCGGGTTTTCCAGTGTTAGACTTAGCTGTAATGGCCACTGCCAAAAAGAAGCCTTTCATTTTAATGGAGTGGAGCTACCTGTCTTCGCATCTATAGGCAGAGCCTTGCACGTAGGCCTTTTCTGCTCCAAGGTCACCACGGAGACAGTGTCAGGAGGCTCTGTGGAGGCTCTGCCTTGTCTGGAGGCTCCAGCTGGGGTTCCCCAGGCAGCTGTTCAGCAGTCTGCCCCCCCCCCCATTTGCTTTGCTTTCCTCACGCATCCGTGTTGTCACTGCTGCACATTGCAGAATCCTCCGTGTCTGAGAGTGCCTGTCCCAGCTTTCACTCCAGGCCCTCTGGCCCCCTCACCCCCAATCTTGGGCACATTTTCTATCTTTCTCCATAATAGGCTTGGAGAAAGTCAGATGCTGGTTGCTCTGCCTACAGGGTGTGGTGGGAGGGGTGAGGAGAAAGGCGACCAGCGCCCCCCCACTAGCTGCACCTCCGAGGCCCACTCCCTGGGGCCACCACAGCAGGTTATATATACATATGTCCACGGAGCATCGAGTCTTCAAACTGACTGCATTTGGTTGCTTGTCAGAGATGCCTGAGGACAGCATCTGAGACCAAGGTTGCCACAGAAAGTGCTGGGCCTATGGCACACGCCTGTGATCCCGGCACCCAGGATCCTGAGGCAGGAGGCAGCTGGGATACACAGTGTGCCGTAGTGCCACCCTAGAGCACGCAGCAGGAGCTCCATGCTCTGTACACGGCGCTTGGGCATTTCGTGTCTGGCTTGCTTCGTCCTGCCTGCTTATAAGTACATCTGTCCCTGTAGGAGTGAGGTGTTTAAGATCCACTGGCTGATGGCGGCCCTGCCCTTCACCAAGTCTCTCTCCCTGGTGTTCCACGCGGTACGTAAGGGCGGCCCGGGCGCAGCGTGCTTGGGGCGGGAGGGGGAGGCAGAGAAGCAGCCTTGGGAGATGGCCACAGCCTCCCCGGTGTTGACGGCCTCGTGCTGCCTGGAGCCTGGGAGTTCTTCTACACCGGCTTTTCCTTCCTCTCTTCCATTGTTATTTGAGATGAACGTGCTGCCTGCTCAAGTGTTTCCAGGGCAGCCTTCAGGTCTGCAGGATCCCTGCACGGTCCTGCTGCGCTTAAGGTTTAGTAGTAGCACGCTGCCGCAAGTACATTGATTCCCTAAGGGTGGAAGCCCAGGGATTGAGCCTCCGGGCATGCCGAGGCCCATGGCTGTCATCCCAGCTACCTGTGAGGCTGAGGCAGGAGAACTGCAGGTTCAAGCCCAGCCTGGGCAGTTGAGATACTATCTCAGTAAAATGTTAAAAAGGGGCTGGTAAAGTAGCATAGTGGAGAATGCTGCCCAGCACAGAGACCCAGAGATCCAGTCCCAAAACCACCAGAAGAGAGCACAGTTGAGCTTCAGCTTGAGTTCGCAGTGCCTGCTACAGGCGGTGGACCCTCCCCACCTGTGGGCGCAAGGTGTGCCTCGGCCCCCCTCGCTACACTTGCTGCTGTGGGTAAGACGGTGTCAGGGAGGAAGCACGTATGAATCTGGTCACGAAGTCAGGAAGGGACAGTTTCTAGGATGGTCCCACATAGGTAGTGAATGGTAGGATCTTCATGTCAGTTTAGTACCTTTTTTGGGGGGGGGGCATTGAAAACCCAAGGCCCTCAGCCCTTTTTATTTTTTACATTGAGACAGGATTTGGTTAAGTTGTCCAGGTGGGACTCAAACTTGTGATCCTCCTGCTTCAGCTTCCGTGCTGGGATTACTGCTTAGCAGCATACAGTTGAGAGAGAACGAAAGGTGCATGTGTTGCTGTCTCTCTGGGGTTCACTGGGAAGAATTTGGAGGTGTACTACTAAATCTCGCCACTTCAGTAAAAATGCATTAGTGGCCTCTGAATGTACAGTGGTGGGTTATAGCTTTGTGCCACCACGCCCAGTGAACCTTGGAGGTTTTAAAGGCAGCCATTTGCCAGTGTCATGATTTTGCCCAGATGGCTCCTTTCTGGGCCTTGGAAGCTCGTGTCATTGTCCGAAGCTACCCGGTGCTTGCTAGCGTTCATGCTTCCTAGAGTACTGCCAAGTGAGGGGTCAGCCGGGGCTGGGCCACAGCCATCCCAGGCCCTCCCAGGCCCTGCTCACTTGTCTCTGCCCTCAGGTGAAGGGCAGATCCCTTCTGACCCACATCTGTCCTTTCAGATTGACTACCACTACATCTCCTCCCAGGGCTTCCCAATTGAAGGCTGGGCTGTGGTGTACTACATAACCCACCTGTGAGTAGCGGGTGCCAGGTGACATGTGGAAGGGGGTGGAACACGGTGGGACTCACTGCCAGAGCTTTGGCTGCACTTGCACAGAGGCCTAGATTCTGTCTCCAGCACCAGAAATAGTCAGAGAAGAAATCAGGGAGCTGAGGTGGTAGGGATTGCCAGGCCTGGGCTCCTGCACCCCCGCTGTCCTGAGTGTGACCCGGGAGCTGGCAGAATTTGGGGACTCAACTGTGGCTTGCTCCTTCCTTCTTCCCCACAGCCATGAGTGGCTCGGGGTGGGGTGCGTGCTGCCCTTGCGCCTCGCGAGAAGTGCCGCTCACATGAGATGCGCTTCCTGAGCTTGGCCGCAGTGAGTCCCATGCTGCCTTCGAACTGTTTCCTCTTCCAGGTTGAAAGGGGCGCTGCTGTTCATCACCATTGCCCTCATCGGCACAGGCTGGGCATTCATCAAGCACATCCTGTCCGACAAAGACAAGAAGATCTTCATGATCGTCATCCCCCTGCAGGTAAAGGGCCGCTGCTGCGGGCTGGCAGGCCCTGTTGGCTTTTGGGGGCCGAGGATCGGACCTACCCCTTTGGGTTGGGCTAGACCCGGTATTCAGGTCACTGCTGAGGCACCTGACTGCCGTTGTCTTAGAACCCTGGGTAGGGGCTGGTGAGATGGCTCAGTGGTCTAAAGCACCTACTTGGAACAAGCTTGGCAAAGCACAGGGACCGCGGTTCGATCCCCCAGCACCACATGCCAGCCAGCCCCGCCCCCTGGTGGGCTGAGCTGGCCACACACACACACACACACACACACACACACACACATAAAAAAATTAAAAAAAAAAAGAACCCTGGGTATATGGTAATCTCAGGACAATACTTCAGAGTGATGGACACCAAGGAATTTCGGCGAGGTGGACAGGACACAATGAGACCATGGGACACATGGAGAAAGCCATTCCTGGCATGCCTTCACCAGGTTGTGTTTTTGTTGTTGTTTGAGGCAGGGTCTCACTGTGTAGTCCAGGCTGGCCTTGAACTCACTATGCAGTTCAGGTTGGCCTCAACCTCACGGCAGTCCTCTGCCTCGGCCTCCCAGGTGCTGGGATAACACCAGCCGGCACCAGATTCTGAGTCCCCAGAGAGGAGCCGAGTGCCCGCTCATGCCAGCAGAACCTGCACGCATGCAGAGCCATAGCCGAGTTGCTCTGGCTGAGCTCACAACTAGGAGCCTGGTGAGGGTACTAGGACAGCTCCTTGGGCACCAGAGCAGCCTCGTGGGCACAGGGTGGCAGCAGAGGTGCCCGACACCATCCGTTAGCGTAGTATTCCACCGCAGGACCAGGGTAGACTGGAGGTGGCTTCCTATCCACAAGGAGGGTCTGGCAGGCTCTGTGGCTGGGACAGGACGGATCAGTCTAGGCAGACAGTGCGATCTCTGAGCCAGCTGCTACAGAGCATGCACCTTTGTGGAGTCTGAGCCACAGTGAGCTCCTCAGCCTGCTGGGCTTCAGAGCCTGGGGGTAGGGCACAGAACCAGATCCTCCTCTCACTCTGTCCCTGGCTGAGTTGAGGCTTCCTCCCCCACCTGAACTGGGACGTGGTGGGTCACGGCCTTTCCTGCTTCCCTGCTTCGCTTCCTGAAGGAATGCACAAAGTTCCTGGTAGCATCAGTAAGGAGCTCGAACTTTGAACCTAGCATGAGGTTCTGAGCCTGCAGACGCTGGGACCAGTCTAGGAAGCCTTCAGCATCAGCCTACGGCATCCAGAGTCTCACTACGTAGTTCAGGCTGGCCTTAAACTCACTTTGTAGCCCAGAGTGGCCTCACAGTGATCCTCTTGCCTCAGCCTCCCAAGTGCTGGGTTTACAGCAGTGCGTCACCACTCCTAACCGGAAGTTGCTTTCTTGTTGGGGGATTATTCCCAGTGCCGAGGGTGGAGCCCAGAGCCCACCCCTGCGCACACTGCAGGCCCACACTGAAAGTTTCTGAGGAAGGAGAGAGCCAGGTCTATGCTGAGCAGTGCCAGGGGAGCGCTACTGATGCACAGGCCCGCCGCGTTCCCCCGGGGCCGGCTGCCTCTGTGGGAAGCCCTTGAATGAAGGACTGCAGAAACACCCTGAGCACAGGGCAGCGATCCGGAAGTCAGAAGCTGTGTGGTGGGGAGACCACGACGGCAGAATAACTCCTGTCTTGTATTGTGTCACTTCTCTGATCACTGACCTGGAAGTCCTACACAGAAGGAGAAACTGCATCTGAGCCTCGCAGAGCCTGAGTCGTCGTCTCTGCACCCACGCCTAGCGGTGACCGTGTGCAGAGCACACCCTGAACTGGGGCTTTCCATAACCAGAGCCTTTTCATCCCCTGTGTAGAGCTGAATTTCAGCGCTCAGTGAGGCACACCTGGAGGAGTAAGGACCGGACCGGGTTGGTCCTACACAGAGTAGCTGGCCACGGGGGCAGAAAGGGGGCTTGAGGGGACACAGAGCAGAGCCCCTCCCTGACCTGCTGCTGCATCAGTGTCGTGCTTTGGGATTTTGCATGAGAAGCAGTATAATAATACGTATTTTATCAATATTGTATAATGAGTCACCCAAAGAATCGTATACCGAGAGTGCAGGAAGGGCCGGCCAGAAGCTCAGCAGATTAAAGCGCCTGCGTAGGCAGACACGGACTGGGTGTTCCATCTAGCCTGCTGTGTCCGACCAGCCCCGGGGCGTGCTGAGATGTGACTGAGACTGGGCGTAGTGGTGCACACCTGTAATCCCAGCGCTTGGGAGGCTGAAAAAAAAGGATCACTGAGTCCGATCTGTGTGGTGAGACCCTGTAGACCCTGTACTAAATGCATTTTAGAAAAAAGTGCAGAAAATTTCCACACACTGTAAATAGTAAGAATCCAGCCGAAGACCTAGAGCCCACGACAGTGCCCCCCAGCCCAGTCCACCTGGAGGCCTAAAGCCGGGACAGTGCGTCGTGCAGGCCTGTTTCACAGATCTGCACTGGGAAGGCCCAAAGGTGAGTGGTGGAAGCCAGCGAGATGACGGATCTGTGCCAGCAGGCTGAGGGGTCTGCGCTGGGGCAGGACTCAGTGCTCAAAGTAAGCTCCGGAGCTCCTCCGGGAAGTACCACAGCCGTCCTCAGCCACACTTGAGGTCCCGGGCTCCTCCAGGATGAGGAAAGCCCATGTGACGAGCTTCTCCAGGACGCTGAGCACTGCACCATCTCCCCCGTCCAGAGCCAGGAAGCGATGCTCAGGTGAGGATCAGCGCTCTCCCAAAGTGAACTGCAGCAATTCTCAGTGGCAGGTTCTGAGCTCCTCCCGCTGCGAGCACAGCTAAGCCCACCAGGAAAGCCGGCACACCAAGGTCCTGCGCAGGGTAGCCCAAGAGAACCAGCAACTTCCAGCAGCGTCTGCAAGCAGCTTCCCTCACTCTCGGCTGCTGGCAGCAGCCCTCAGGTGGGCCTCCCACACCCAGCGCTGCGCTGGTTCAGTTCAGCTGGGTGTAGCAGTCCACCTTCATCACAAACCACCCCATACTCGGTAACTGAAAACACAAGCAGCTACCAAGCTTGCTCTGCTTCTGTGGGTGAGAGACTGGGGGCCTGATGGGGTGGGGTTCAGCCGCCATCTCATGTGGTCCAGTGGAGCAGTGCTGGGCCCAGGGCCTCCTCGAACCTTCGCTGGGCTCTGTCCAGGACTGGAGCAGGTGAGCGGAAGGGGGTGGAAACAGCAGTGTCTGGATGTGTCTTCTGTCTGTACAGTTTCCCCAGCTTGGCCGTTGTAACTACAAGCAGCTCAGAGCCCGGATGCAGAGGTGCAGGGAGGCTGAGGCAGGAGGAAAGCATGTGTAAGGTTGGCGTGGGCAGCTTAGAGACTTAGCTCAGAGCCCATCTCCTAATTAAAAAAACCAGGGAGCTGGGCATGGTGATGCACACCTGTGATCCCAGCACTCTGGGAGGCTGAGGCAGGTGGGTCCCTAGTTCAAGCCCAGCTTGGGCAACCTGGTGAAACCCTGTTTGAAAAATAAAAAAGGGGTGGGGATGGAGCTCAGCGTGAATGCTCTGGGTTCAGTGCTGAGCACTGCATGTGTGTGCTCACACACAGCCCCCAGGAGGGTGGAGGGGAAGCTGTGTTTCCTTGGGTGTTATGGGGGGCATACCCACCTCACCAGGCAGGTGAGAGTGGCAGAGTCGTGGCTGAGCCTGGACCAAGGCAACGCTGACTGTCCCGGTGGCTCTCCTCGGCCACTTTGGAACCGCCCACGTGTGGGCCCTCAGCCACCTCTCCCACCCACAGGTCCTGGCGAACGTGGCTTACATCATCATCGAGTCCACCGAGGAGGGCACGACAGAGTACAGCCTGTGGAAGGACTCGCTCTTCCTGGTGGACCTGCTGTGCTGTGGTGCCATCCTCTTCCCTGTGGTGTGGTGAGTGGCCCAGCCCCTGCGGCTGTCTGTTGGACCTTTCTCATGGGGAAGCTGCTGAGGGGCCATAGCTTTGCAGGGTCCCTGTGGCCAGGGCCTGGGCCTCAGGGATGGGCTGGGGCAGGACAGGCTGCAATCTGCGGAGGTCGACAGTCCTGTTTCCCTGTGCTCCTGCCAGACTCGCTGCCGTGTGGCGAGTGGCCTATGTGACGCAGGGGGACTACTGGGCAGGGTGCTCCAGAGGGCTCTTGCCCAGGAATTTCAGTCTGCCACCTAGAGCTGGAAACAGAAGCACGCAGATTTCCCTGCAAACCTTTGTTCTCCAAATTTTGTTTTTAGGTCCATCAGACATTTACAGGAAGCATCGGCCACAGATGGAAAAGGCAAGTTCCTGACACTGCTGGGCCATGATGGGATAAGCGGCCACCATGGTCAGGTGACAAGGGGTGTGGACAGTTGGAGACTTCTGCCAAGGAGGTGCGGCTGGCCAGGGAGGAGGTACACGCATTTCACTGCCGCCCACCGCTGCTACTCTCACCTCCGGCATTCAGGAAGCAGGGCTAGTCCTGGAAGCGGGGGAGACGCATCTCGCTGGCTGCTCTGAGCACTGCAGGCCTACCGTTAGGTGACCAGGCCAGAAGGAGCCTTCACAGTGACCTGATGTCCTCGCACTGTGACCTTAGGGCCTGGTGCCTCCTGAGTCTCAGCAGAGCTTTTGTGTGCTCCAGGCTGGGTACTTGAGCCCTTCGGGGAGAGCACCGAGGGCTGTCTAAGGCAGGTGATTTCCTATCATGGACCCAGATCCGCAGGCATGTAGTGCCAAAGTAAAGTGGTGTTCTCATTAGAACAATAAGGGCATTCACACACACCCATTTCTCAGACTCAGTACCACGTGGTGGCCTATGTGGTCATGCAGTGCTGCTGGGAGGAAGTGCCACAGAAGTGGTGGCCTCATCACATGTCCAGGACTGGCCCCACCTGCCACCGTGCTCCTGGGGGCCAGGGAGGCAGGGCCTCAGGGTCAGCACCACATTCTGATTCTTTCCATTGACCACAGACAAACAGGAACAGCTGTTCAGGACTCTGCAGTAGCATCTCTCTATTGGGAACTATGTATGTACCTCTCTCCCCTACCCCCTCGGCCCTTTCCGCTCTGCCCTGGGGCTGGGCTGGGCTGGGCTGGGCTGGCATATGTGCAGGGCTCTGGGGCTGTTTCCCATGTGTCCACCAGGGGGCAGCATGGGCTTCCTCAGTGGAGAGCAAATGCAGAAGCCAACGCTGCTGAGGGAGCTCCCACTCCTTTCTCCTTAGTGGATACCACAGATGGAGGGGGACAAAATAGAATGGACAAAATAGAATGGAGAATCCTCTCGATGGAGGGCTTTTGAGCACACCCTCAGCGATCTCTTCATGCCATGATCTGAAAACAGTTGTGCTGACCTCGGTGTGGTGCTAAGGCATATCATCCTAGTACTCGGAGGCTGAGGCAGGAGGATGAAGTTCAGGGCTAGCCTGGGCTGCATAGTATGTTCAAGGCCAGCCTGAACTGCACGGTGAAACCCTGTCTCTAAATAAATAAATGACAAAGAAAATGGTGGTGTTTCTGCCACTTCCATGGTGGCCATCTCTAGAAGAAAACACTGTGTCCTGCTGGCTGACTTTGGGGGCAGTCATGCTGTGACTGCTGATGGATCAGAGGAACACTTCCCTGGTCTGTGCTAGCTGCTGGCTCCACGCGCTTGGCCCTCTGCACCTCAGTTTACCCTCTAGGCCCACCTGTCCTGGAGCGGCTGCTCGAGGAGGCCTCAGCCACGGAGCCACTGTTGGGTCTGGGTGCCGTGAGTGGATGGTGCTGCCTCCTGGTTTCCCAGGCCCATTCTCTGTAGACTCGCTGTGCTGCGTGACCGAGCCGTGGGCTACAAGGTCTTATTTCCATTGGGGTGGGCGCGGTGGCCTGGGACAGAGACAGCTTCCTGCGGGGATACTTGTGCCTCGTTTATGCATCTGCCTCTGGAATCTTCCCTGATGTTGGGCTTGCAGAGGAAAAAGTGAAGGCTGCCATGTTGCGCCTTAGAGGGAACTGCCTCCTATCACCCAGTGTGCTGTCGCTGGGACACGCAGCTGCCTGTGAGTGGGGCCTGCTGCCCGCTGCGGCTCCCAGCGCCTGCCTTAGGGCAAATGAGGCAGGGGTTCAGGAGCGCCCCCTTTCGCAGAGAGCTCTGAGTGACTACCCGTTGGCCTGGGCTTGGAGGACTGGCTTAGCTGAGTTTCCCAGCTGGGAGCACAGCCTAGAGGGCAATTCTGGGCAGTGCATGTCCCAGGGATCCTGGGCTGGGCCAGGGTACAGTGCCACCTCGTGCTGTGAACTCCAGGTCAGTGGGTAAAAGAGCTGGGCAGGGGCACAACCCTGGGTGGTGGCACCAGGCTGTCTGTAGCATTGCTGCTTCACTGCCACCTGCCTGCAGGGAGGAAGGGCTCGAGTGATCTGAGGTGGCCTTCGCAGTACTGGGGACCTGCTGCTGTCCTCACCGTGCTCAGCTCCGTGGAGTGTCCATGCTCTGCGGCCCAGCGTGGGGGGCAGGCCGGCGGCTGCATCGAGCATGACAGCCACGCACTGCCCCGGGCAGAGCTCTCGGTGAACATTTCCTTGCAGGGAATGCAGTGAACGAGGCACCTCGAGCAGAACAGGGCCACTGACTGCCAGTGATAGACGCGTGCTTCCGAGTGACACGTCGACTCCAGGGAAACTTGCAGGCATCTCCAGTCCTTAACCACTTCCGCTGTGACCAGAGACAGCTGTCAACAGTGTGGTCTGGGCACTGACATAAGAGCTGCTGTGGTGTTTGGGAGGGAGAAACAGGAGGATGGCCTCTGTGAAAGCTGCAAGCGCACATTCTCGGCGTGCGATGGGACCTGCCTTCTCGCGCTGCACCCAGAGCGCGCTGCGCGGCGCAGGGCACGCAGCAGGCAGGCACCCTCCGCTGAAGTCTCACCAGAAAGTAGTTCCACTCTTCATTCTTTTTTAAAAATATAAGAAAACATTGCCAGGTGTGTGGGTGCAAGTGTGGAATCTCAGAATCTAGGCGGCTGAGGCATTAGCACGGCACCAGTTCCAGGCCAGCTTGGGCCACTTCATTTGTGCCCCGAGGGCTTGTAGGGCTGGGCTGGCAGCCCGCAGACTGGTTCCCTTGGCTGAGCCTTGAGGAGAGCAACTGTCCACTGCCCTCACCCCCCCATGCCGCACCCCATGCGGGGATGCTGCCCTCTGCAGCAAAGCAGCACTCCTGTGAGGTGCGTAGCCTGGGGCAGCGCCAGTGCTCTGGCCCTGAGCATCACAGTGGGGCAGAACGCTGGTGGTTTTGGGTGTGTGTGACATCATCTAACATGCTCAATAAAGCAGGCTCTGTCCTTGGGAGAGGGAGCGGAGGCCCCATGCCAGTGCTCCTGCAGCAGTGCCCCACTTGGGTCCCCGCTTGTGGACCGTGAGTTGAGCCCTGGGAACCCGCTCGGGCTGTCATCGGTACTGCTCCCAGGCGCCAGGGATAGAGCTAGGTCACTGAAGGAGAAGCCAAGCACTTGCTGG